AAAAAAAAAAAAAAAAAAAAAAAAAAGTTCTCCTCATGCATGATTATTTTGTTAAGTTTTTTCAAGTTTTCAGCAGCTGCCAAACCAGTGTAAAGAAAAAGTACCTTCTGGTAAGAATGCAGTAACAAGGCATGCTACCCCCGCCACAATGTTGCTTGCTGCAAAGGGGAGGCGGCGTCCAACCCGATCGATGGTCAGTAAGATCAACAGAGCTGCTGGCAGCTCCACTACTCCCGAGATAAAAAAGTCTATGTAAAGGTTGCCTCCTGTGATTCCCAGGCGCATCACAAGTCCTTGGTACACCACTGCACTTGTGAACCTGCAGCAACAATGGCAGACACCAGAGAACAAATAAAAAGGTAACTTCACCTGATTGGAAGGGGTAGACCGTGCAAGCTTTTAAATCCATCACAAAGCAAACTTACCAAGCAAACATAAGTATAAGTGTGCATTTCCTCATTTGGGGAGTTCTCACCAGATCTAAAATGGATGGATTACTAACTTCCTCATCTGTAACAGTGATCTATATAAGAAAAGCAGATTTCAGTAGCAATAGGTAGCAAGAAACATCTGCAGAGTAAAAACTTTTATGAACTAGATTCAAATCTATGGGATAAAAGGATCTTAATGACTGGGGCTTGTTCTAACTGTATCTTAAAACTTGAGAGCGACAGAACTTGTCTTGTGACATAATGAATAGGTCAAATTCACAAAGATAAGGTTACTTGAGAATCTGTTCCTGGGATAATTGCAGTACTTATGGTAAACTGCTCTTTATGAACAAAGAAGAAGGCATCTTCTAAAATAAGACATGCAGATTTATTAAACTGAGGGGGAAAGGGAGAATGAAAGTAAGAAAGTAAGATCCAATCAAGTACTTCTTTATACATTAAAACCTTAAATCTTAGACAAATTAAACAATAAGTGTAAAAGCAAGTACCCAAGGTATTATTTTGCTTTTTTCCATTGATTGAAATCCAGCATCTTTTAGATCCAGGAAAATTTGGTGCATTTCTATTTGGCCATCTCCATCTACAAAGTTGGTATTTTCTTCAATTCATTTCAGTAAATGTTGCTATCTGCCTACTGTATATAGAGCACTGCCAAGGAGACAAGCAGGAGAGCAAACCTCCATGCTCAGATGTTGCTTCTAGTCCAGGCTGCCAAAGGCCTCACAGTACATTTCCCTGCAGTGATCATTGTTCTACAATCCCACATGCTTGCTGGGAGAGCCTTTAGCCTCCTCACTTCCTTTGAGAGATTTCTCCTAACCTCTAATGGAAGCCTCCACTCCGCAGACCTCTATCATGGCTCCTAAACAAATGTTGTCTCTAATTTATCTGTTGGTCTTTTTCTCTCCAGGAGCTGTGGAGCTCTTAAGAGGCAGAGACTGTATTGTAGCACCAAGCAAAATGCCTACTGTTCAACAACGCCTGCATAACAATGGAATGTCAAAACAAGAATCCATGTACCCTGCCACATCTGTTCCTTTATTTTTTTCCTTGGTTTTTGTCCTTCTATTAACTTGGAACCCTACTCCTGAACACAGAACCTCTTCTATTTACACAACTCCAGATCTGGCTCAGAAGTGGAAATCCAGGCATGTTTTCCCCAAGCCTTTGAAACAGGGTTATCTCTACCAGCAGTCACAGAATTTGAATTAAATCTATACTGAATTTGAATAAACCTATACTGAAAGTACCGTGTCAATCACTATCCTGAACATTAAATTCCGTGGATCAATGAAAGCTTGACATCTCATGACCACATTTCCCCTAGGGAAAGTCACACACATAGAAGACTGCAAAATGAATGTCTTTTCCCCCTTTCTTCTTTCTAACAGTATACTTGTACAGCAAATCATTTGCCCCATTCTTCTCGTCGTTTTAAACGTCTAAATTGAGATGTCTTACAAATGACAGATCAAATGACAAAGACATGTTTTTTCACTTACTAGTATACAAAATGATTGTGTCTTAAAATAAATAATGTCTGAATCAACAAAACAATAGTACTTTCCATGATGATACTCATGGAAGGTTGTTAATACACTTTACGGCCCCGTTCTTGCCTTCTTTTTTTTTTTCTTTTTGGTACCGGGATCAAACTTGGGCTCTTGCACTTGTGAGGCATTGCCTTCTCTTTTTTTATACCAGAATAGATAGAATTTTAGTCAGATACACAGCTTGTCCTTCATTTTCTATCTTCTCCTCCCAGTGGAATAGCAGAAGATGATGGTAAGCTTCAACCACATAACCTATCACAGGTTGTGAGACCTGACGGAGCTAAACTGTTGCTTCTCCCTCTCCTTATCAAACATCTGGAAAAGCTGCTTCAAACTGCAAACAAACCTTCATGTGCTAATTGCTAACTTGGTTAACAGCCAACCCAGGGACAAATGGTATGACAAAAGGTGACCATAAAACACTTCCCCCATAAGGTAAACAGTGTGTTTGGAATCTTACCCCCTTGTAGCTGTGTGAATGCCCTGACCTATGTTTTGAATTTCTTTGTTTGAAGAAAACCTATGAAACCCATACACAATCCTGTAACGGGGCTTCACTTCTCTTAGAGTGGAGTCTGCACATGTGTAATAAGCTTCCTTCAGCTTTATCTGTGTCCTGGTACTTGGTGTTCTCTCACTGGCTTGGTATAAAACAGGTGATGGTGAAAAAATGGGATAAATGGAATGCTGGTGCTGGAGGATCTCATGGAGAAGGGTTGCCTTGCCAGAGCTGGAATATTCACTTCTAGGGAGAGAAAAAATACCTTTCTCTTTTTGACACTAGTACAGCTAGAAACAAAGGAGCTGAGTGAGTCATCCCCCCATCTAACCCTAAGTAGCACCCAAGGGTTATTCTGCTTCCATTGTCCTAGACAGTACAAAATGAAATAACAAAAGCCTAAGAGCTCTCCATGGCCTAGGCAGCAGAGCACTGGCATCAAAGGAGATTCAGTGGGAGGCACTTAGAGCCGCAAGTGCCCGGCTTTTACATTCTGAAAGCCTGAGTTATTGGTCTCCCCTTTTCTTCCTTTTTCCGTTGCTGCTGTTATCTCTCCTGTGAACTTCAATAAACATATCTACTTGCTACTTGCTATTAAGCATACACCTGACAATTATTTCCTCATTGTACACAAGAATTGGGACTATTATTGGCCCATTCAACTGTAAGAACACTGTATTTCAAGTTGACTGGGATTGTAACTAACACAATGCTTACTAAAGTTTTTCTTAGACAACTATCAAAGTTTTAAGATCCCTTTACCATTATTTTTTCCAAAATAAGGCAGGAATATCATTGTGGAAGAACATATATTACCACACCATATTATTATATGGTTTATTATCAAAATATTTCACACACACAGTGAGTTTCTATGCATCACTCCCATTAAATGGCTAACATCTATGGAGTGTGTAATCTTTGTTAGATTCTGAACCAAGTACATGAATTATTTCATTTTATTTTCTTCAAAGCTCTATGAAAGTTAGTATTTACAATAATCTAATTTCATAAATAAGAAAACAAGTCCTAGGATATTAGGGATTAAAGAGCAGGAAGGTAGCTGAGTCTGGATTTGAAATTAAGCTATTAGAAATCCCCTGCTGACTATAAAAAAGCTTTTATTCCACAAAAATTCTCTATAGTCATTTCTACATGTTTTTAAAGGGTACCATGCTCCTGACCAAAAATGTAATCCTTCAGTTTTACATCACTTCTTTTCTTTCACTTTGGCTTTTCCACATCCTGGGTCTGCTTGATTGTGTTAATCTCAACTCTTTTTCTCTGAGAAGTACCTGACTAGATCACTCATATCCACATCTATCCCACTGTCCACAAAGGTGACAATATTTTCTTTTCAGAAGCAGTATTCACAAAAGTTTATTCTGGGCTCTTTTGTTTCCTCTTTAGTCTTTATATTTTCTGCCTATAGCTATGACTTCTACCTATTAGATCAGACTGACCAAAGTCATTTTCATTCAGGCCCAATGTCAATATCACAGACTTCTACGGAAATCACACAAAAATGGATCTTGCAGGTAACTTGACATTTAAACACCTTTGAGGATTTTTTAATTATTCATGGTCTGCAAGTGTTCCTAAGTCACACAACAACAGAGCATTTCTCACCCACATGTTAGATCTGTAGATGTCCACTTTTTCCTGGTCAGAACTTCTGTCACCACTCAAGTACAGAATTAGATGTCAGATGGACACAAGACAACTGCAAAACTTTCTGCAAAATGCCAGATAGTATTTTTGGTTTTGTAAGCTATAAGTTCTCTGTTGGAACTACTTGCCACTGCAGTCTTGACAAATATGTAAGTGAGTTCTGATAAAACTTCATTTATAAAAACAAGCAGTAGGCAGAGTCTGTCTGTCACCTGTAGTTTGCTGATCCCTGGACTAGAGAGCTAAAGCTGGAGGAACTGCTACAGATTGGTGATTATGACTACTTCCATTAGAGAGGAAGCAGTTGAGGCATAGGAAAGCTAAGGAGCTACCCATGGAAGAAACACAATGAATACATGAGCCAGAGGCTGATACCAAAGTCTGCATTTTTAAACATTATGCTATACTGCATCTGCAGTAGGTAAACACTGTATTTGTGGTATTGATTAAAAGCTCATTTTATAATTTCATCCACGGTTCTCATGAGGAAGTGGGACAGTGGATTTTAAAAAAAATTTTTTTTAACTTTTCTTTGTGGCTGTGAATTGTGTCTTAAAATTAAAAATAAAATCTGTATTTGTAACAAGAAAAAAGCTCACTTTGAAAGTAGCTGATTTAAATTACATACTAGTGCACTCAATTATTGAGGCAGTATTATTACCCTTTCTTTTTTCTAATATAACTTCCAGCATATTCACCACACGTTAACCAGCATGTACACACACACACACACACACACACACACACACACACACACAACGATCAACTCACGTTCTCAGGCCAGCTGACTCTGTTTCTGCTTGTGGGGGTGAAGACTGATTATCTAAGGGTAGTCTTATCCTCTGGGCATGTGGCCAATTTAAACCAACAAATAACAGGCATGTGACAATTTGAGCCAATGAAAACAGGGCATGTGACCCCATTTGGACCAATGAGAAAAGAATCTGTGAAAGTCCTTCATCGCTGTTAAGTCAGAGGTTCCTGCATGAACCTTTTCTCCCCCTTTTCAGGGAATGAATATAGAAATGAGCCCAAACAGATCTTAGCAGCTGCCCTGCACCCATGAAGAAACCATTCTTAGAATGAAGCTATTCTCTCTGCAGAGTGGAGAGAAGGGTAAAAGACTAGATGAGATTGTTGATCCCCTGGTCCGGCCAACCAAGAACCCTGCTGTGACTAGAATTCCTGACACAGTAGCCAGTGAATGTTCTAATTGTCTAAGCTCATTTAAATTGGTTTTCTGTTACTTCTTGCCAAAAGCAGAATTATCTGAAGAATCTAGTCGAGAACAATACTTTTGCTTTAATAATTATTTTAGGCAAAATACTGTTAATATTATCATAATCAT